TGCCTCCTCTCCAACCTGACCATCTGCAATCCCAGCTGAATAAACGCTAAATAAATGCTGTTGAAGTAAACTGGCAAAACATATTTCCAGTGCATATATTTGACTCAGCAATTCTGTATTCAAGAGTTTACCCTAAGGAAATAATGCAAAATGTATCAAAGATCTGGGAATACGTATCAAAGATCTACCTACAAGTGCGTTACTGTGACAGGGTCTGTCATGGTGAATCGGAAAGGACCTAAACGTCCCACAGAGGGCACTGGGTAAAGTAAGTACGGTACGACTATCCACCAGGCTTCATGTCGGAATCCGAAATGATAAAGCCGATTCAGCAACCAGTAAAATAAAAAGCTGCCAGCGATAGTCTGTTTCATGAAAAAAGCATACTAAGTACATTAGATTGATACTCTTATAAATAATTCCATCAGCTCCACAACCAAAATCATTTAAAAATTCCTGTATTACCCTCAGTGAAGGTTAAAAAAAAAAAAGGAAGAATTTGGAAGACTATATTCCAAAATGTCAGTGGATTCTCTCTCTCGAATAGGGTTTTCTTTTCCTCTAACACTTCCTGTAATAAAGGTTTTATAATGAGTATAAAGTTAATTTTTAAATCTTTAGACTATATTTTTATTTTAAAGGTCAAAGTATTTGCTCAATCACTCAGTTGCTGCTCCTTTAAAAAAAAATAGTAAGGACCCGACAGGTGGTGTGGTAGTTAGGGTGGCTGAAACCCACACAGCCGAGTGGATGGTTTGAGTCCCGGACCTGGCAGCTTGGCATAAACACTTGGGCTTATGTACGTGTGTACTCAAAACCCCAAGAAGAGAATAGAGAAGAAGGGACTGTGGTGTGGCCATCCTCCCTAGAGGAGGGTGATTTTTCACATTCACTTTCTCTGTATCTCTCTGGTGAGCACAAGGGCCCTATAGCAAAATCTATACAGGAAAATAAAATTCCCTTAACATAAAATTCATCCTCACTTTTTAAAGATGTTTCTTCCTCTGTTTGTCTAATTAATGTGACAAGATTAATGATCTTAACTCACCAAATTCAGAAATGTTCTGATTTCTATAGGAGAAGATGAAGATGTTTAACTCAATTATACCAACTCTCTTCCTCTCCTATTCTCAATCATGTTAGCTCCATTTTCTCTTAAGTTCACGTACCATGCGGTTAAAGTGAAGTGACTATTACTGAATATAAACCACACGGGATTTCTTTCACTTCTCGCGTGTGAGCCTGTTTCCCGGATCCCATGTCTTTTTTTCCACTTATTCTTAGGTGGAATACGTCCTCCACCTTCGCTTCTTTCTGCCCTCACATTTGATGACTGGTCTGGTTGAGCTGAGAATTCTAGGTTGAAAATGGAGTTAAAGGTGTGTCTCCCTCCCTTCAAGTTTCCACTGTCACTGAGAAACTCTATGCCAGTTTAATTCCTGTTCCTGAGTAAAACCTATATTTCTCTTTGTGTTAGTTTTTAGAATTTTCATTTTATTCCCAATGTTTTAATATTTCACCAAGCTGTACCTGGTTATGAGAGAGCTGTGCTCTCTCATCATTATGCTGGGCCCTGACAGGCATTTTAAACTGAGAAACACATCCTCCATGCTGGGAGATTTCTTGGACTACTTTTTGGTAACTTTCTCCCTTACATCTTTTCTCTGCAATGTTAGACCTCTTGGATTTACTAATTTTCTTTTTCTACTTCACACCCATATGTTATTTTTTTAAGAATTTATTTAATATTATTATTGTTAATATTATTTTTCACATGAGTTTTGTCATAGAAAGAGAGAGAGAGAGAGAAAGCCGCCAGGTCCAGGACTCAAATCATGGCCAGCCATGTGGGAATTCCAACACCGTAACCACCATGCCACCTGTTGGCCCCCATATGTTATTTTTGTTTTTATAATTTTATTTTCTGGGAGAATTCCTTGAAAATCTTCTAAACTTCATTGAAATATTTTAAAGTTTGCCTATCATATTTTCAATTTCTAAGATTTTTCTTTTTTCCATATAGCATCCTGTCCTTATGTTATAAATACATTTATAATCTTCTCTTCAATATATACATTACCATTTCTTTAACATTTTCTTCTGTTTTCTGTACAATGTTTCTTCCAAGCTGTATTTTTTGTGTTGTTTTTTTTTTTCTTTCAGATTGTTGGCCTTCTACAAAGGTAATGGTGATCTTTAACTGTTCTTTCATTGTGTTTTAAACAAACCTGGAGGTATAACCTACATATAAAGTGTTCCCACGTTACGCGTACAGTGTCGCGAGTGGGATAAACGCAGGGATCCACACCACCACTACCACAGTCAAGATGAGGAACATGGCCAAAGGGTTCCCGTGCTTCTTTCCAGTCAGCCACACCCTCAGGCCAGGGACTATACCTGTTTCCTATCACTGTCGATTAGTCTTCCTGAGTTTCACGTTGATGGAATCATGCCTTTTGTGTACAGCCTCACTTTTGAAATGTTTGTGAGATTCATCCATGTGGACACATATGTCGGTTGTTCATTCCTTTTCCTTCTTGAGTGGCTGGTATTCCACTTCCT